ACAATGCTAACATTGCTCGCCAGTCGCGCAGTCTCATTCCACCCAGGCCCGTAGTCCTTGTACTCTGCCATCGTAGTGTTGGAGTTCACTCTTGGATCCGTAGTACCCCACTTGATGTACCCATTGGGCTGGATTGAATCATCAAGATAGCAGTTTGCAAAGATGGAGCGATGCTGAGCGTTCCAAGGGCGGCCCAGCGCGCACTGACCGGTTATGGAGAGGGAAGAATTGGCCTTCTTGACGTCGGAGTCGTGGATGTAGACGCCGTATTTGTTGACAAAGGTTGTGTTGCTGCCCTTCCATGCTGTGATGCCGCCGCCACAGTTACGGAGGGAGACAAGACTGGTCTGGATCCACGCCGTGCCGAAACCATAGAAGAAGTCTGTTTGTCCGGCTATTTCGTTCTTGTAGAAGTACGCGTTGCCTAGTTTGCCGACGTACACGGTGTCCTGGTACGAGTAGAATCCGCAGTAGTAGAAGCCGGTGTTTGCGTAGCTCACTGAGACTGCCAGGGCTGGACCAGCGGAGTAGGGTGCATACAAGTTGCTGAAATCTATGTTGTATGCGCGAAAGTCGGTGTTTCCAAAAGGTGTACCTGCAGGTACGGGGTCGCCGGTAGGTCCTGTGCCAGTTTTACTCGAGTTGAAGGTTGGCGCAACGGTGAGGACGGAAGTATATGCATTGTCCAATGTTGATAGGCCAGCTCCAGTTGCATTGCGCCATATCACATTGACAGTGTTCTTGCTCTGGTCGTTGGGCGCTTTGGTTTGACCAAAAAGGTAAACGGGACCGGGCCGAGTAACATTTACTTGCTCAGTATAGTTTCCAGGAAGGACCAAGATGTGATGAGGTGTTGTGTCATTCGGCAAGCTGAGTACTGCCGACTGAATTGTAGAGAAGTTACGACCAGGGCCAACCAGAATCGTGTTTTGAGGGCAACCGTCCAGTGGCTTCTTGGTTGGATACTGGCACGCTTTGCGATTGATAGTCGATACAGCAGCGCAGGCCTCGAGCAGGCCAAGAAGTAGTGTCGTCCAATGCATGGTGAAAGGCTGAAGTTTTCGCACGGCCCGAAAAAAGATGCGCGCCGTTTGGCGGACTGAGGCTTGGCCTGCACTTTATATCAACTCATCGTATCCGCACTCCTGGGGTTGGGATTCCCATGTGGCTCAAGACATCCGCAATGCCCGGTTACCGTTGTGCCCTGAGCACCATCATCAGCCGCAAGTGCGCCTTTAGTATCAATTATCCGTTCAATGCCTCCAATCAACATCATTACCAGGTATACCGAGCGCGGGGAGTATCCACCCAGAGAGATCCGGAGAACGTGGGGAAGATGGAGGAAATTATCCACCAATTAAGCCGATCACTAACAAGCCTCGGAGATGATCTCACATCGCCAGAAGAGCCGACAAACCGACGCGGAGAGCGAGCAACGAGCCATGGTCAAACACCGTTACGTAGGCATGTTCCGTGCTGTCTGTGAGGCTTCCGTGGCGTTGGTCAAGCTTCGGCATAGAGCTTGCTGAGGCTTGTTTATGTGACGCAATGACGCGTAAGATCGTGGGCTAAAGACGGCCTGAGATGAAACTGCGATGATATCTAGGATAGCAGAGATTAGTGCCTGAATGAATGTCGAAGCTGAGCTGCCTCGCATGCGCTTCAAAGTGATGCGATGATGATTCTGTTCCAGCTAGGAAACCGCTAGCAGGAGTCCAGCCAAAGTTGTACCTAGGTAGTTGCGACGAAGACGTCCATCTGAAGTTTTTCAGTATCGAGGCCTCTGGTGCGTTACGGCATATATGGGATTTGAGCTAAGGTTGTAGAAGGAGCCAGCCGTCTGTGGTGTTGAAGAAGTGTAAGCTCGTGAGCCCCCTCTATTGCCGGCGCCAACCCGGAAATTACGTCGCCGGGAGTTCCGAGGTTTGGCACCAGACACGCGGAGACATCCCCAGCTGCTTTCAACCCTCAACTCCACGTCAAGCTCTGTTCACTCTCATCAGCTAACTACCTGAAGCCCTCGCCGCGGCGCGCGCATTTAACCATGTGAACCATTTTCGTCATTCGAGCGACACCGCTCCCTAGAGACCTCAGGACTGTCCCTTTCGCGCCGCGAACACTCATGACAACGGTTCCTTACTCTACAAGACTCCCAAATCTTCATAAGACGGACATGAGGCGCCTTGAAGTGCTTTACAAGGCATTCAGAATGCGCCAAGTACTTTGGTGGTAGGCTAATAATGCCCAGCGATCACGACATCGCCCTTGCCTTTTCTGCGCATCGTTGAGAGGATGTTCCAAGACATTCCAACCAGCGACATGCTTCACCTTCCTGTTCAGGGTTCTTGGGAGCCACCAGCTTTGGACACCACAAGCAACTCAAGCCTCGCAATGTTGCAGCGCTTGCTGATCGCGACATGGAAGGAGTGCATTCGCAATTTAATTCGCGTGGCATGCTACAACCATGTTATCGCGCCATTGCAGACGGCTATATGACCCTACAAGATCCCGGCCACCGCGTAACCGTCTATCTTCTGCGCAAACCATTCGTAGCGACCGCTTCGGCTGTATTCTGATCACCAACTTGACGCGAGCGATCGGTACTCCTGGTGCTCCTAGCAAAGCCCAAGTATGGCCGCGATCGCTGACGACGACGCAAAGGTCGCGCGTTACACCAACGATGAAACCTCGCCTTCCCCACCGGTCTACGAAGATGGCAGCGTGCAGGAAGACAACGCCTATGTTTACGACGATTCCCAGAAGCTGGGCTACACGGCCACAGTCTTTGTCATCCTGAATAAGATGATCGGCACTGGTAGTACGTATTCTTCATGCTCATACGCTCGGATGGCTGCTTACTTGTAACAGTCTTCTCGACTCCTTCCGGTATCTTCGCAGCAACGGGATCGGTTGGGGTGTCACTCTTCCTGTGGATCATTGGTGGCATTCTCACATTCTGTGGGCTATCCGTGTTTCTGGAATTCGGTCTCGCAATCCCACGTTCAGGTGGCGAGAAGAACTATCTGGAGCGCGTCTACCGTCACCCTAAATACGTTGCGACATGCGTTCTTGCTGCGCAAATGTTGTTGCTCGGATTTTCTTCCGGTAACTCGCTCGCTTTCGGTCGCTACGTACTGTTCGCAGCTGGTTCGGAAGCACCGGATGGCTGGGCGGCGCGTGGCATAGCCGTTGCTTGTGTCACTTTCTCGGTTGTGCTCCATGCCACGTTACCGAAATGGGGCATCCGCCTCTTCAGTGTTCTCGGCGTGTTCAAGGTTTTCATTCTACTCTTCATCGTCTTCTCTGGCTTTGCTGCTTTGGCTGGTCATCTGAAGATCGAACAGCCGCACAACTTCGACAACGCGTTTGCACTGGAAGTCGGTGATGGCTATGGTGGCGGCGGTGCCTATGCGTACTGCCAAGCTCTGCTGCGCATCATTTACTCCTACAAAGGCTGGGAGAATGCCAACTATGTGTTGGGCGAAATTCGGAACCCGAAGAGAACCCTGGCCTGGTCTGCACCCCTGGCAATCGGTGGAACTACCATCTTATACGTCCTCGCGAACGTGGCTTACTTCGCTGCCATCCCCAAGTCCGATCTTGCGAAGAGCGAGGTAATTGTGGCTGGCCTATTCTTCCGCAACGTTTTCGGTAATAGTGCTGGAGCGCGCAGTCTTCCCGCTTTCGTTGCCCTCAGCAATCTTGGCAACGTGCTCGCCGTCAGTTTCGCACACTCACGCCTCAACCAGGAGTTCGCAAAAGAGGGTTTACTTCCGTGGAGCAGATTCTGGGCGTCGAACAAGCCATTCAATTCGCCGGCGACAGCCTTGTTCCTGCATTGGCTGATTACAGTCATCGTACTGCTTGCGCCCCCTGCTGGTCCTGCCTACAATTTCATCACCGATCTTTACACCTACCCCGGCGCTTGGATCAATGGCTTCGTCACTGCCGGTCTCATTTACCTACACTACTCCAAGCGCGAACGCTGGGAGTCGCCATGGCACACCTATCTCCCCATTGCCGTTCTTTATCTGGCCGCAAACATTTTTCTTGCACTGGTCCCCTTCATTCCTCCGGATGGCGATTGGAACGCAGACGGCTACCCATATTACGTATTCCCGGTTGTCGGTGTCAGCGTTCTGCTTCTAGGTGGATTCTACTGGCTTTGCTGGACGAAGATCTGGCCAAAGCTCGGAGGATACAAGATTGTCAGTGAACGCTATGAGGATGCCGAGGGCAATGAGCATGTGAAGTATGTGAAGGTATACACTAAGCACGATTGAGCAATCTGACGATCGATACATACTGTACCGATGTGCTCGGCCGTGGTGGTGGCGTCCTTCTATAGAGATAGTAATAGCCGTGCAGATAGCGGTGCGAACTTGCTTTTGTCTTATGCGTGATCCATTCTGTTGTGTAGGGCTCTCAGTACATTGGTGCCTGCGATTAAATATTTCGTTGATCCCCCCAGAACGATTAATGAGGGGCGCAGACAATGGCTGTATCGCGAAGGTCCTCGATATAAAAGCCAGAAGTAGGTGTGCTGCAGGGGACGGACATTTTGCGGTGGCGCCAAGACATCTGAGCTGTGGAGCCGATGACGCACAGACCTCGGAACGCGTGACGCGAAGACATCAGCTTCACATTACACCCTAAGCCCAAAGCTAAACGGCATGTCTGCACTGATGCCATTCTTCTCAAGCGAACATCATCGTCGCAATGCATCGATGGCACGAGTCGCGGATCCCCTCTCATGAAGTTCCGTTCGTGTCCGTGGCGCATCCTGGACGGGTAAAGGCTAGGCCTCCAACACGCCAAAGACCCCATCTCGCTCTATTTCGCTCTAACAGCTCAGGCAGCATGAAGTTGCCTGCGCTAGCGCATCAAAAACTTGGCCCTCTTGCCATATAGTTATCAACCTCCATTCGTATAAAGCAATAAGGATAAACGCTCCTTCACGGCGCACCAATTCACGACTCCCCACTCGCTCAAACACAACAATGACTGGGACTTCTGGCAAACCCATGAACGAATATCCTGGATTCGGACTACCTCTTTGCAATTGGGAATGGACCAACTACGGCTTCTATCCGATCGGCTCCCACCACAATGCCTATGGAAGCGAATCAGAGATCATCCCTGTGCGAGAGCTTGCCGTGATGGATGTTTTGGAAAAACTCACCGACAAGCCCGACTGGCATCAGAAGGTCTTTGATGATGAAATCGTTGCCAAGTGGCGTAATGAGGCCCTCGCCATTCCTGACCAACACTTTTGGCACCTGGCTACCGCTGCGAAGAGCCAATATTGGACCCACGACGATGACCGGCTCGATCTTCATGACGACAGGCAGTCTTGCATACTCGAGAATATCTTGGATGAAGGTACATTCGATACCGTACGTTACTATTGCTTTTAAATAGTCTTCATCACTAACGCTATGCAGTGTGTTCAAGAGCTTCGCAGCAAAGCCAAATATTTCGAACAATCGGGCATCATACCTTCTCTCGACGCAAGCGCTTCCGTAGCCAAGTCTGACACGCTCGTTACAAGCGAGCTACACGCCAAGCTTCGCAAAGCTTTTGATCAGCTCAAGTCGGACCACGCTGCATCTCCTGATTGGCATCCCAACTCGAATAGTATGGTGCAGGATCTGGTACACCCATCTATGTACCCATTGGTATATGGGCGCAGTTCTGGCTTTCGTGAGGAGCAGGTTGGTGTGACGGACGCTGTAGAGCGCTGGGCTGGCAAGGGCGAGGTCGTCCCCCAGCAGGGGCTCGAAACGACTACAGCGCAAAACCGACATGATTATAGCGTTGGAGGCAGCAGCATCCCGCCGGAGTACTGGTCCAATCAATACCAATGGTTGCCGGCCAATGTGGCTTTCCAGGATGATGGGTCTGTCAAGTTTACCAGCTACATCAACAATCTTCACCCTACGAGATATCCCGACATATATCGTACCATCGAAAAGCTGGTCGAAACATCCATACCCATGTGGGATCAGTGTTTGCGGTTTGCAGTCGGCTATCACAAGTTTGAAGGGGCCGGTCGTATGGAAACTCGCACCGGTAAACCCGAGAATCCTGAGTAAGTCAAAGTAATGTCTTCGAACTTTGCAGCTGCTAATGTCCCGTTGCGTAGTGACGAGAACGAAGAGAATTGGACGCCCAATAAAGAAGAGTGTGGTGATGTGGAAGCCAGCGAAGAAGACCTGGAGGAAGAAGGGTACGATGATTACTACGACAACGATGAGGATCGCCAAGAAGGGTTGCTGGAGGCCAAGTGGAAGATCGTCCGCAAACCTCGTATCATGCCAATTCCCTTCAACGACGTATCCTACGCACCGCAACCAGGCAAGCGTCTTGCTGATAGATTTCGCGATACGGGACTTCAGATCATTGTCAAGATGGCCTCGATTGAACTCACGCCCGAGAAGCCGGACTTTCCTGTGGGTGGATGGCACATCGAGGGGCAGATGAACGAAAACATCTGCGCAACTGCCCTGTACTACCTGGACAGTGATAACATCACTGATAACAGCCTCGCATTCCGCATGCAGACGTCTGCTTACCTACACGATGACGAGGGTTTCGACGTTGGACAAGACTGTTATCACTGGATGGAGCACGTGTACGGCACTGGCTTTGGGTGTGGGAATTCGCCATGTTTGCAGAATTACGGGAACGTACAAACGCGTGAGGGTCGGCTGCTAGCTTTCTCCAATGTCTTGTAAGTCGGTCAAGATTCTGTTCGGACACTGCCTTGGGCTAACGTATGTTAGTCAACATCGTGTTTCCCCTTTTAGTCTCATCGATCCTACAAAGCCCGGCCATCGTCGCTTTATTGCACTTTGGCTTGTCGATCCGACGAAGCGCATCATCTCTACGGCGAATATTCCGCCTCAACAAATGGACTGGTACGTCGACTCGCTACTTGGACCAAGCGACAAGATGCGCCAAGAAGCGTTGTCGAAGCTCCCCCCAGACCTCATCAATCTGCTAGCCGAGAAGGGACTCGCAAGTCCTTCTGTCACTACGGAAGGTCGACTGCCTGAAGAGCTCATGGCCTACGTGCGCGAATACTTCGAAGAAGCCAAGCACTCCCTTCCTATGGGTTTTCAAGAGGCAAGTGAGCATCGCAAAAAGCTTATGCAAGAAAGGGGCGCGTTTGTCCAGACCGCAGAGAAAGGATGGCAGAGGGCGACTTACAGCTTCTGTGAGCATTGAGACGCTGGCAGAACTTGATCAGAGCCTGAATAATGACAACTCTCGAATGGAACGGAGCATACGACAACGTATAGTGTTAGTTCTCGAGTAACGAATTGAGCTATGGCTGATCATGTTCCCTAACCCGCTGACATTGAAGTACTACTACCAACAGCTTCCTTGCGTAACGACTGTCGGGACGGCAACCCCGCAGAAACCTTTGACGTCCCAACAACATCCCATTCAACGTCGCTTCGACGCTTCACTGCTAGGCGCCATGCTCCGAAGTGTCAAAGGCACCTTGCCTTCCGTGTCGTTCCAATGCAACTCATACAGGCCGTTCTCAGCCTTCATGCCGTAGAATGACGTGGCAACCGTACCATCTTCACCATACAACATCACCGTGGAACCGTAGAAAGCGAAACCCGATGTTTGAGTCGTGGTGTTGCCAGTGCCGTTGTTGGGTGGGAGAAAGCCCACGCGCCTGTCGACCGATGATGACGAAGGAATGAAGAGAGCTGTATTTGACCAGGTGGGCTCACCGGTAGCGGTGGTAGCGTTGGGGTTTCCAATGAAGTGTTTGTTGGCATCGATTGTGACTATGTCTATTAGTTGGGATGAACTTGGGTACGCGATGGCTCGAAGAAGCCGAACTTACAGGTTACGACAGCAGCATCGGTACTGTTGGAAAGAGCAGGCTCTCCGAGATATGCAAGACCATCGGCATAGAAGAGTGGCAAGCCACCAATGTCTTCACTGTATGCATACAGCTGGAAAGGCGTAGAAGCGACATCACGCTTGCGGGCGCCCAACACCGCGAGCGGGAGCAGAGCCAGCAGTGCGCTGCGCATGGCGATATGCATGATGAAGGAGTGTACGTTGAAGAATATTTTAAAGAGCGTCAGAAATGCAGCAAGAGTGTGAAGGGTGGTGGCAACAGCTAACAATCAGCAGTCCCAATGTCCTTATTACACTCAATACATCGGCCGAGTCAGTCTCTATCTCTACAGTCCCCTGAGCGACTCAGATACATTACGACGTCTCCACGTATATTCATGACGCCTCGAGTGAAAACCATATCTCTTGGTATACTTCATTGGGAGGTCTCCGAAGGGCTACAAGGACCCGCTCTCGTACAGTGCGAATTGCGCTATCGAGGGTTGCATGCTGCCTGACTTCAATTGTTTCAATGCTCAGGCGTCGCGTAACCTCAGCCACTCAAAGCACAGATGCGATACGTAGTGCGAGTCGGAGCGGGTCTTATTTTTGGCACTGCCAAGCTCAAGCTAGAGAATGCTTGTCGTCCCCACTGTCGCGTATCTCTCTAGGTAGCGATCGAACCGTCTAAACGCAGATTCTACCCGTTTTTCAGTGGATATACGAAGAGTTTGTCTATTCGACTCCAAGTACCTCACTCCACTGAGTACCTGGCACAACCCAGCAACAACGGCGCGCCGACCTGTCATCACGGACGGCCCTTCCGCGGCGCTTCCTTCCTCCGATTCCGAGTCAGCAAACTCCGACCATGCGCAAAGATTTCTCAACAATCGATAATGCCATGGGCAGATGCGGCGGAATGGCACCGATCGAGTGGGGGCTCACCTGATGCGCCGGTAGACTTTGCGCATACTACTCAGTAACCCCACGGCCGTTTTTAGACGCACAATACCGCTAGCAGATCACCGAGCAGCCGGTGTACCTACGCCAAGTGATGCCCTAAGGGGCGTCTGAAGTTTGGAGTAGGGATCAGGGTAGTCTTGACCCACGATAAACAATGAGACTATCTGCGGAGGAGAACGAAAGAAGAGTACGAGCGAAAGTTTCGATTATCATGACGTCCTTGAGTCGTTGAAGACTGCACAGGTTGTGCCCCTAATAGATTCCTCGGATAAGACAGGCTATGAAGGTAGGATGCAAGGGCGATATAAAAGAAGCGAAGACTTGTTGTTGTGGAAAAACATCAGCTTGTCTTTACATTCGTTTGACTGAGCTCAGATCACTCTTTGGGAGCTTCTTTCTAGAGTCTTTCGCATCTTGTCATTCGCTTTAGACCTCACTTCCACTCATTACGCGATCGTTGGTCGTTGTCTCTACACATCATCTTTTTTCGAGTACCAAATAATTTTAGGTATCTACATCATGTTATTACGAGGCGCTTTCGGTCTTGCAGCCTTGACTGGCTTTGCGGCCTCTTCGCCTTTCGTTACGAACTTGAGTAAGTTGCACCTCATTCTCATGCAGAGGCAATGTTGACTAAACCATTTCCAGTGCCGAGAAGAGCATGCGATGGCAACACCGCTTCCACACGTTCCGAGTGGTGTGATTACTCCATCGACACCGACGCGTCCATCGAGATTCCAGACACTGGCGTGACCCGCGAGTACTGGCTCGAACTTACCGATGTTGTTGTAGCGCCTGATGGCGTGTCTCGGACAGCGATGGCCATCAATGGCTCCATACCGGGACCAACGCTCATCGCAGACTGGGGCGACACAGTCGTTGTTCATGTGACCAATTCCCTTACGACATCCATGAACGGCACGAGCATACACTTTCACGGTCTTTGGCAGAAGAACACCAACGATCAGGATGGTGTGAGCTCCATTACACAATGCCCAACGGCACCAGGCGAGTCAATGACTTACACCTGGAGGGCTACTCAGCACGGTTCAACTTGGTATCACTCGCACTTTGCGCTTCAGGCTTGGCAGGGCGTCTTTGGCGGTATTGTCATCAATGGACCTGCGACGGCGAACTACGACGAGGACCTGGGCATGCTCTTCCTTAACGATTGGGATCACCAAACGGTTGATGAGCTCTATCTCTCTGCCGAGACGGATGGCCCGCCAGTTCTGGACAATGGTCTGATCAACGGTACCAACACCTTTGGAGACGGCGGCCATCGTTATAACGTCTCCTTCGAAGCTGGAACTTCTTACCGTATCCGCCTCGTCAATGCCGCTGTCGACACCCACTGGAAGTTCATGATCGACAACCACACCATGACTGTCATTGCATCCGATCTTGTACCTATCCAACCTTATGAAGCTACCATTGTCAGCATCGGTATGGGTCAACGATACGACGTCATTGTAACAGCTGATCAGGGAGACGTGGCCGACAACTTCTGGATGCGCGCGATTCCGCAGTCCGCATGCTCCGAGAACGACAACGAAGACGACATTCGCGGTATAGTCTACTATGGTGGCTCGGCTGGAACGCCAAGCACTTCCGCATACGATTACGAAGACAGCTGCTCCGACGAGACCGAGAACCTTGTGCCGCACATCCCAAAGACTGTCGGGGCAACATCGTCCACAGCCGATGAGCCTGTGTCTGTCGGCCGCAACGACGAGAACGTGTTCAAATGGGCTCTGAACAGCACATCCATGGTTGTGTACTGGGACGACCCCACGCTCATGCAAGTTATGCGCAAAGAAAGGACTTTCGAAGCTTCAAATGCCGTCTTCCATCTACCCCGCGCAAACCAGTTCGTCTACGTAGTCATCAGCACCAACATCGGAGTACCTCATCCCATCCATTTGCACGGCCATGACTTCTTCGTCATCGCTCAGGGTACCGGAGAGTACACCGATGACGTTGCTCTCAAGCTCGACAACCCGCCGCGCCGCGACACCGCTATGCTGCCAGCATCGGGCTACCTTGTCATCGCTTTCGAGACTGATAACCCAGGCGCGTGGCTAATGCACTGCCACATCGTACGTAGCCCTCTTCGTTTGCACTTATATCACTTTACTGACATCCATACAGGGCTGGCACACATCCGAGGGCTTCGCCATGCAGTTCGTTGAGCAGTACGACAAGATCGCAGGAATTACCGACAAGGATGCGTTGGAGAGCCAGTGCGATAGTTGGAAAGCTCATAGCGGGTCTGTTGGTATCCTGCAAGATGACTCTGGTGTATGAGGCGTAGTGTCGTTCTGTCACGTGGTTACCCTAGAGTCCTCGGGCTCACCTTCCATGCGAGTCTAGGTTTTTGGCACTTATAATACACATAAGATTCATCCAGTATTCCACCCTCTTGATGCACGCCCGCGCCTACCAGCGACGGCATTCTTAACCTCCGTTTCGCTTCCATCCATCATCGCCTGCGCCATCCTTCGATGCGAGGTTGGCCCCCGCTTGAACGCCGACACCGTGTCATGATCGCATCTAGCCGACTGCAATATGCTGGTGGCGCTTGCGTTCTCATTTCTATTTAATCTAATCGAAGCATTCGATCTACAGCGGGAAGCGCGTACCTGCAATATCTTGTGGCACAGCTCTCTAACATACGTCATCCGTCATCAGCCGAACCTTGTCACCTTAGCCCCGCGCTGCCGTCTTACCAACATCCTCATCACCACAAGGTTCTTAGAGATGCGATACTTCTCTCTTTATAGAGTATCTTCTTACGTATAAGTTATATAGAATATAGAAAGTATAGTTAGCTTATTATCTTTAAGTTACTTCTAAGTTATTATAGTACTATAAAATAGTAATACTAAACTATAAACTTTAAATTCTATATATATAGTAATAAGTTAAAAAAAGAGTATATAAACTATACTATAGTATCTTTATTACTTCTATAATACATATATAATTATACTAGTTATAAGCTTTTTCTTTATAATAGTATTTATCTTTATAATTATTTACTTTAATATTTATACTTACTAGCTTTACTTTATAACTTTATATTTTACTAATAAACTTATTATAAAGATACTTAGTATTTATTAGTAACTTTACTTTTTATTTATAGCTTAAAGAATATAAAGTATAAAATTATACTTACTCTTTCTAAGTACTTAAATAAGTATATATAATACTTATTTATTAGATATACTACTTACTACTTATATAAAAATAACTCTAGTAGCTAAAGCTTTTTTTTTAGCTAAAAACCTTAGCTATATAAAGCTTACTTCTTTACTTTTAATAATATATATTAGACTCTAGCCTATAAGAGCCTAGGCTAACTTAGCTATAAGTATAAATATCTTAGAATTACTATTATAGCTTAGTAGTAATTTATCTCTAGTTTTTTTTTTAGAATAATATACCTAATTATAGTCTAATATTCTACTATAGCTTTATTACTATAGTTTTAGGTATATAAAAGTAGTAGTATTTACTTATTACTTAGTACTTAGCACTTAGTATTTAGATTTATAATTTAATTATGTTATTATAATATAAGTATAACTATATAAATACTAATAATAATAATAATAACTTATCTCTTTCTCTTTCTTACTAATACGCTCTACTAATCTACTTATCTATATTATTACTTACTATATTCTCTAATTCTTTATTATTATTCTTTACTATATATTATTAAAGTTACTTATTATAAGTACGCGCGCGTATATCTATATTAGTTAGCTAATTTAATCTAGAGAAGGTATTCTAAAAGAAAAGGTTTATAAAAAGTTTTATATATTTATAAAATAATAGCCTTTACTTAAGTATAAAAGCTTAAAAAGTCTATAAATAAAGCGCTGTCTAACTTAGCTATAGTAGACTTAATAAGCTACTACTACTACTAGAGCTTTAGATAGTAACTATTAGCTAAACACTACTTTATACTATATAGATTCTTTAGCTTCTTCTAAAGAGAGCTACTTTTAGTTATATTTATAAAGTATCTTAAAAGCTTAATATACTAGATACTTATAATAATATATACTATAGAATAATATATTAGGTTAAAGTAACCTAGGTTTAGCTAGAAGGTATTCTAGAGACTTAAATAATAGTAAATCTTTTTAAATTAGAGTATAAACTAGGTAATAGTACTTATAGAGATACTAGTATAAGTTATATACTTTTTAGTTTTTTTATATTAGGTACG